AAACAAAAAAACCCACAAACAAAAACCTAACAGAAAACAGAACAACAATACAACAGGGAAAAAAAAAAAACCACAAAAAAACCCTTACTGTCTTACAGGATATCTTAAATTTCCTGCCTCTTTTTTCCTTCTGGTTTTAAAAGGAAAAGGTTTACATAGTAGTGCTATAGACATGCTTGCAGCAAGTTTTTTGGTAGTGTCTTTTTTATTATCACAGACTTTGTAAGGATGCTAACTTAAATCCTCTCTGTTGTGACAGTCTCTCTTCTTTGCAAAATCATATTATTATTTGTGAAAACTAGAAACAGTTTGAATGCTTCTGCCTAAGATTTTGAGCAATCTTGCTCAAATACTGCTGGCTGACTGGATCAAAACTGTCAATACAAAAGCCTGGTTGAGGGAGGCAGTTCCCCCCTCTTTGTGGAGGGGAAAAATCACTCGCATTCACTCCTTCTGGTTTTTGCTGCTAATGCCAGTGCTGCTGCATAGGCCGGTCAGCCAGCAAGAGCAGCTAAAGCATGAGTCATTCTCTTCGGAGACTGAGCACCAATGCGGTATAGAGTCGCATATGCTTGGCACCATGCTGTTCTTTGAAACATTGCTTCTAAGGCTTACAAGAAATGTACACCTTTTGTAGAGGTGAATTCAGGATGGTAGTGCAGTGCTTTAAACAAGGCTTCAGTGGTTATTCAAGGTAAACGCTTTGTGACCAGAGAAGTAATTATACATGCAAATAAAACAAAAGTCATGTAATGTCTAGACATAATGTGTTCTTTTTTGTCGGTGTTATGAAATCTACTGAGCCAAATTTCTCTTGAAATTTAAAGGTCCAATTTTCTGTTTCTCTTTACAGCTGGATCAGTTGGCTGTAGATGCTGCAAAGGAGAAGAGAGATATGGAGCAAAAGCACTCCACTATTCAACAAAAGGTACTTGTGAGAATGTAAAAGGCAGACTGCACACACATTTCTGTATCTTTAGCATCTCTCCCCAGCAGCGCATCTCTGCATCGGGACTGTGAGAGATGGTATATTTAGTGCAGAGAAATAGACTTACACATCACTAATTGTAGGGTTGGCTTGCAGATTATTTGTTTTGTATTACAGAACAGAATATTATGTTTAGTTTTGACTGAAACATAAATAGAACAGTAGAACTTATTTGTATGCTGGGACTCTTTAACATTTCATTAGAACTCTAAATTCCTATTGTATCTTGGATTCAATATAGTTGTAAAAGTTGCTGTCTTGCCCTCCCGTGTGTCTATAGAAGATATGTATACGCTGCACAGTCTTACAGTCATATGTATTACTTTCTGGACTGTGCCAAATAGGAGTGCAGTACTTGGAGGTAGTGTGGCAGCTGCTATTGCATATAAAGAGCAAAGGTAAACTTTTGTAAAGGCTATCTAATGTATGGTGTTCAACTGTACGCAAATACAGAAGTGATAACACTTTGGGAAGATTTGTATGTGCGATAATTCTTATTTTTGCTTGTTGAGAAAAATGTAGATAATTCATGTTGGGGGGGGAATGACTTCTGTTGTTTGGATGTTTCAGAAGCTCTAGATCAGTATTGGCTTGCAGGTATAATGCTAGAAATTAAAAATATTTCCACTGAACTCTCTGCTAGTGAGCTAATACTGCAGGTACTTTTGAAAAGAATTAAATACTAGTTTAAAGGTAATGCAACACTACTTACTCTCATTCAAATATATTCTGTAGCTGTTCAGGTGGCATAAATTAAAAAAAAAAGCCTAATATAAATGAAAACTGAGTAAATCAATTCAGGAATGAAAACATGCTAGGATTTAATCTAGGTAGCCTTAGGAGTTAATTCTAAGGGGAAAAGGTAACGTTTTTGGTTGCTGAAAATGTTTTTGTCACTTCATCCTGTCATTTCTGCAGGAGTTGGTGGGAAGCATTAGGGTTGCTGTAACTGAAATTGAGCAGACATGATGATGGGTTTTAGGGCAGTGCTGATGTGCTGTGTTTGGAGGCAGACAGGAGGTAACTACAGGCAAGGAAGGGGAAGAAAGGGGAAATGGGAAAGAGATGGAACTTGAGAATTAATGCTGAAGTTCAAATTTTAATTTGTTTTGGCTCAATAGGCCTAGTTTCAGAAGTGGACAGTAGCTGAAGGTTTTACTGTTAGAGAACAGCGGTGCTTGGTGAAGGATGTAAGTTAGGGACAATTACCTTTTAATTGGCTGTAGAAATAATAACTTGTTACCAGGAATTATTGTCATCGCTGTTGCCATTGGTGTTTACAGTCTTTATTTTTTTCTTCAAATGCTGCTTAAGGCTGCTTTCCAGGTAAACTATTTCTAATATTGAAACTTTTAAGCTTCGTGAAACTTGATGAGCTGTATCTGTGTGTAATACAAATATTCTAGTACAAATGGCAATCGCAATGAGGTTATATATTGTTCCTTATTTTAACTGAATGACAATTTTACGCTGTCTCTAAGATATAATCAGGGCAGTCAGATTGTATTGTATGTTATCCTCTGAAGTTCTGTGTTTCAAATTGTATATGTTGTCTTCTGTCCTTATCCGTGAAGTCAATGTATTTTTGTGATGATTATGATAATGCCTAGATTAATGCATCTAGGCTTTGGAGGGCCTGCTTTAGTGGAGATTCCTCTTACAGCTTGTCAAATAATTTTCTTACTCAAATTGTGTTGTCTGTTTGTGTTTTGTCTCCTCCTAAGTGCTTCTCCCAACCTTCCCACCAAATTTGCTTCCAGCTCAGGATTTCAGAACCTTGAACTCATTAGACTTTGGATCTTGTTCTTTATATCATTATTTGTCATCTGATCAGCCTGACCAGAATGGCAACCTTGTTCTCTGTTCTGTTCTCGTGGCTTGTCATGTTGCTTTCCACTGGGCTGCCTTTTAGGCATATGTTCCCAAATCTTCCAGTGCCCAATCCTTCCATTTTTTTGTAACTACTAAAACTTCTGCTTCTTGTGTTGAATATTCCATGAGATATATACGCATTTAATACACTGAAGTTTTAATCTAATGCTTCAGAATGATGCCTTTTCTTCATTGTGTGGATAAAGAACAGTTCCTTTTCTGAAATGTATAGGTAAGTGCACATGTGCACACACCTACCCACCCACTACCTGTGTTTGCATATATGTGCATATGCATGCAGATTAATTGCACTAATTAAATAACTCATCTCACTTTTCTTTATAATCATCATCCTATTTGATTAGGCTGTTGTCTGAGAGGCTAATACGAAAGTCATAGAAGGGCATGATCATCACTATAGCTTGATTTCTATTTTACAAGAACTGATGTCTGATTTATTTTGTTTGTTTTAACTTTTGTGTTCTATTTACTTAGCAAATATGCAGGAAACAATTTTTTTAGTGTAAGAAATTATTTTTTCTATATTAATCTGGAGCAACACATACTATGAATTAATCTAGAAATGTCATGATCATTCT